AGACTGGGACAGTACAGGATGCCTTTTGCTTGGGCAGCAAAGTATGGTACATGTGTATTGCTATTAATGGTCATCAGTTAATGTTCATCTTATCATGTATACATGTATCTACCTACATGTACATATTAATGTTCACACACTCACAGGATAATTAAATCATTAATAATATTTTAATTTTATGTAGGCCGTTGTTTCTATCAGAGGATGAGGTGAATGTCCATTGCACTGACTTGGGACCAATTTATAGACAAGAGAGGGAGAAGCTAACTGATACTGAACTCATTAAAATACTGTCAGACTTTAAGAAGTGAGAGAAAATACACAATTGCATCTATTAGTTATTATTTATTTATTTTATTTATTCTTATTAGTATTGGTAGACATAAGCTTCAGACTATACCAGGTAGCCTCAATGTATCAATAATAGGATCAGCAACACCTGGAGGTAGGCATTATTTTAAATTATGTTTATTATATTATTTATTATTAGTAATATTCACTCCTTCCTATCTTCCTGTTAAAAGCACTGTACCAAGACAACTGACACCAGATACACAAGTTAGTACATGAACATGTACTTTTATTACAAGCACCGTAACAATAATTTATAATAGCCTCAACTGAAATACATATACACGTATTTGTGTACATGTACATGTACATACACATATACATGTATCTCTTGTAATTTTATCCTCTCTCTCTCTCTCTCTCTCTCTCTCTCTCTCTCTCCCCCTCTCCCCCTCAGTCCAGTCTTGAAGTGAGGGAGTTCCTCTCTTTGGATTCATATGACTCATTCTCTCATTGTTCCCCTCACATCTCCCACATCAACCACTTCTATGTCTACCCAGTCTCTCTTAAATATGACACCCAGAAGAGCTTCCCAAAAGTAAATGTACATGTACATGTACATGTACATTGTACACACGTAATATTATAGTGAAATAATGTACATGTACATGTAGTACATGTATATTAATGGAATGTGTATTTTGGTATACATGTACACAATGTGCATGTATACCATTAAAGTTTGTTGGTGATTATCGAGTTAATGTTCTTATTGTATTCTTAGGCTCGCAATATAGCAGTGACTATTGAAGTGAGGGATAATGACACTGATAGATACACAAGACCACTAAAAGTAATAATTAATATATTATTATTATTATTATTATTATTATTGTTAGGTAATATATAGTAAATTATCCAGTGATGAGTTGTTAGTAGACAGTGTCACTACTCCAGTTCTGTATCACTGTACCTACCCATCCTTTTATGATGAGGTACAGTACATGTACATATTAACAATAAAACCTCCATTTAACGGACAGCACCTAGTGTACCAATTACATTCCTTACTGTATAAAATAACCTCCACATAAAGGACACCTCTGTATAACAGAGACACTTTCTTGTACCCATTAGTGTCCATTAGCTATACTATAATTAATAGTTCTTATTTATTTATTTATTTGTTTGTTTGTTTACAGATAAAGATCCAGCTGCCTACAAGGATCAGTAGACGTCATCATTTATTATTCACTTTCAAGCACATCAGTTGTGATATTCAGAAGATTGCTAAAGGAGGCGGGGCCAGTGGAAGAGGCTCAGTTAAACATAACAGCATTGAAACCATTGGTAATAACTACTAATAACTATTACTAACTAATAATAACTATTAATAACTACTGGTAACTATTAATGACTACTAATAACTTTTAATAACTAGTGGTAACTATATTAATAACTATTAATAACTTTGTCATATTATTTTATTACAGTTGGTTATTCTTGGTTGCCTCTGCTTGGAAGTGATGGAAGGTACGAGTGTACATGTACAAGTTAATTAATGTTAATGTATTATTTATTTATTTATTTTATTATTATTTTTTTTTTATTTTTTTATTTTTTATTTATTTTATTTTTTTATTATATATTTTTTTATTTTTAATTTTATTATTATTATTATTATTATTATTATTATTATTATTATTATTATTATTATTATTATTATTATTATTATTATTATTATTATTATTATTATTATTATTATTATTATTAGGATCAATTCTGAGTCATTGTTATTTACCAGTGTTAGCAGCTGCTGAATTACCTCCTGCCTACTTATCAATGACAAGAAAAGACCTTGAGAAGAAAGAAGTAATTTTAACACCTTTCCTTATATTTATTTATTTAATGATACATCATGTACATGTACATGTAGGCTTATTAATTGTGTTGCTGTACTTAATAATTTTAATGACTCATTATTAAATATTAATTTTGTTTACCTGTACAGTTTCCTA